AACCTTCTAAATATTCCTTTATATGTGGTTCAGAGTTCTGGGACCATCCCATGAGCCTGCTTGGTCGGGTATTCTGTGTTGTTGCTAACATAGCTCCTTAGAGCACTTCCACCCAATCTACCATCTTGTTTGTTCTCTGGTACCAACTCTTGATAGAATTATTATCTTAAAAACTAAAAACTCCAAACCCATTACCGAGGTGTCAATTTGGACCCACAGTGATCCTCTAGGACAGACTGTCACAGAGTTTCCAAGGGTGTACATCTTTACAGTAATAGACAGCCACCTCTTCCAGGTAGCAGTTGGTGCTTTCCAATTACCGACCTTTTAGTTAGTAGCTAAGCACTTTACTTATTTTTTAACTTTTTGTTGTAGATTGATGGAAGGTTTACAGAGATCAACAAATTATTCACTTTGTTTTATCTCCATTGTGAATTCCTCCAAGTAAGACCACTTATCTCACTTTCTCTTTGTATTGCTTGTTTCTATTCCTTCTTCCCCAACTCTTCACAGCTTTGCCCTTGGGTAAATACTGCCTGTGAAGCACCAGTCTTCCCTCCCACAGCCCTCTCTGCTCAACTGGGGTCCATAATCCACTGCAGTGGCCTCATAGAATTCAGAAAACATACAGTTATGGGTTTATTAGGGAAGTTGTTGTTGTTGTTAAGTGCTGTCGAGTTGGTTCTAACTCACAGTGACCCTGTATAGGGTTTCCAACGAGCAGCTAATGAGTTTGATCCACCGACCTTGAGGTTCAAACCGACCTTACTGCTTATTTTACAGCGCCATACCAGAACTCCTGTTAGGGAACTTAATAGGTTATAATTCAAGGTCAAAAATGCTGAAGGCACAGTTGTTCCAGCCAGCTGCTGATAATGCCCACAGACACACCACTCCACCATGAGCCTCAGTCTGAAGGCACTCAGCTCTAGCTCCATGGGTCAGCAAACTTAGTCCCCCCACTTAAGAGCCCGTACATATTCCACTCTATAAGCAAGCTTCCTGCCCCGCGTCACTCAACTTTACTTGCTCCATGAATGGTAAGTCCACTGCTCTGTCTTGTGTTCTGGTTTTTGGTTCTGCTGCTGCACCTCTGCCATGCCTCCGGTATCACAGTTTTCTGTCCCTGGGTTGAGAAGACTCAGTGCGCAGGAATCTGGGCCTTCAGAGCACATGCTCCAATCCTGGCTCTTCTCTGATGCTAGTGAGAGCCATCCTCCTGCTTCTGAGATGGCTCGTTCTAAACCCATACTGGTGGTCGTGGTGTGCTGTGGAGTGGGTTTCGACCCATAGCAACCCTGTATAGGGTTTCCGAACCTATAAATCTTTACGGGAGCATAAAGCCTCATCTTTCTTCCGCAGAACAGCTGGTAGTTTCAAACTGCTGACCTTGAGGTTAGCAGCCTGACTCATGACCACTACGCTGCCAGAGCTCCTCAAACCCATGCTAGAGTTTCAAGTTTTTATAATTATAATGAACTCTGTTAACATCCACAGCTGAATCGTGTCATTCTGTCAGTATCCTCTCTCACCTTCTCTTACCTAGACCCAGCAGGGCAGAAACGTTGTTTGGTGGGAGTTACAGACTGTGTAGAAGAGACATTAGATAATTCACTACGCTACACTGCCCTTTTGATCCTGAATGGTTGACCATTCCATGGTGTGTGTACCTCACTAGTGTTGTTGTCTCCCCTATATATACCTATAACTTGCTTGCCTAAAAGTTGTGTCACGGAGGAGAATTCAGTTCTAGATTCAAGGGTGATGAAGAGCTATAATCTGGGGTTCCACCAGCCTCTTTCTGACCAAGAAGACTGGTTTAAAAGAATTTTTTTTTTTTTTTTGATTTTGAGTTTTGTTCTACATTTTCTCCGGCTCCCTCCAGGACCATCTTTTGTGATCCCTTACAGAGCAGTTGGTAGTGGTAGCTGGGCACCATTTGTTTCTTCTGGTGTTGGGGTCACGTGGAGACTGATGTCATGTGGTCCATTAGTCCATTGGATGTGTTGTTTCCAAGCTTCTTCAATTTTCCTCACTCTTCTTTCCTCTGGACACAGAAAGATCAAGAGTTCCACCTTAGATGGCTGTTCATGAGCTTTAAAGTTCCCAATCAAGTAGCTGAGCACTTTAACCACTATGTCCTAAAGATTTCTCTGTATGTTAGGGACAAAGAATCCACTTTTGTAAAGGACAAATAATGCTTCTGTTTTCTCCTCTGTGCATACAGTGGAAATAATAATGGCCTCTACATCTGCATACCAGGCTGAAGTCCTGTTGTGGCGCTGTGGGGACAAAGCACTGGACCACAAAGCCTAAGTTGATAAAGTTAGGACCACAAGATTGCTTTGAGCCACAGGGTCAGCGGTTCAAAATCACCAGCCACTCCTTGGAAACCCTATACAGGGTCACTATGAATTGGAACTGAGTTGGAACACATCTTGGCTATGTTGTGAAGATTAATGGAACACTTTATGTATTATAGTACTTACTTTATAAATGTTAGCTCCTGACACTGGTATTACTAGATGGAGAAGAACTTTATCAATATAGGCTTTGTACTGCAGCTGCACATGACCCTCTGAACTCACAACATCTAACCTGAAACCCAACTCTTATTTCTCGACCTTTGTTGGTTGGTTTTGGCTCTTTACCTTGACCTATTACAGCAGAACCAAGGCTGAATGTGAGCCCCTTTAGGAAACATGTTGCTGTCATGTCAGGTGAAAAGGAACAAGAGATGGTGGGGTCATGCAATGCTTAGAAATATCACTGAGTTTCACTCCTATACCTTGCCCAAGGTAGATGACAACAAGGGTAGACCTGATGTCAGGGGAAGGGAAGTATAAACCTATTATGGAGAAGAAGATAGAAGGGGGAAAGGAGACAATCTGGCAGAAAATCCTCATTTATCGAAATCAGTATAATTAGGGAAATGACTGAGAAGCATTTCTTCTTGCAAGATTCTCAACACTCCAGTAAAATCAGTCATTGATTAGAAAAATTGCAATACAATTTGATTAAGATGATGTGTGTATTTGGAGAGGAGCAGATCTGCCTACAGTGTCTGGGGACACGTCAGGAGAGTTTCTTAGGATCCAGTTATCCTTAAAGGAGTCACTGGGTTGTTGTTAAGTGCCATCGAGTCAGTTTCAATTCATACCCACCCTACATATGGTTTCCAAGGTGCTTCTGGTGGGTTTGAACCGCCAACCTTGTGGTTAGTAGTCCTGTGCTTATCCTACAGAGTCACACCAGGACTCCAAAGGAGTCACTAGGAAGGGAAAACAAGCAAGGTCTCCACTACTACCTGCAAAGTTGACAGTTCACATCCACCCAGGGGCATCTTGGAAGATAGGGCTGGCAGTCTACTTCTGACAGGCCACAGCTTTGAAAACCTTATGGAGCAGCTGTGCTGTGCACACACGGGGCCACCATGGATTGGAATGCACGCAAGGGCAGCTAACCCAGCAACAAGGCAGCAGTAGGACAGTAGTCATGTGGACTAAGCTCCTGCCCAGGGTGTCCGAGGACCTTCCAGAGGTGGTATCGCTCCTAATACCACTGTCTCCATTGACCACATGGGTGGAGGACTTTGACTATCCGGTCATGTGACATACACATGCAACAAGAGAAGGTGAAGTGTTATCTTTACAAAAGTCATGGTGAGACGAGGACAACTCAGTTGCGAACCCCAATTCCTCAGAGTATACAGACATAGGGAATTATACCTTGGGCAAGGGGAGTCAGCAGCTGACTGCTGCATGCTCTGATCAGTCTGGAGGGAGAAGTTGGAGGCTCTTTCTCCCCAGCATTAGGCCGTATTCTGTCTTCTCCCTGACTCAGGTAGCAGCAACTGATCTAGGACATGACAACTGAACCTGAGGTGTGGGGACAAGAGGGACATAGTAAATATTGACAGGTAAAGAAAAGAGGGAGCAGACCTGAGAGCTTATAGGCCTGAAGTTAATAAGGTAGACAGTCCAGAAAACCCACGTAGACTGAGACTGTGGTTGTGGAGTGAGGAGGGTGTGAGAGGACCGGATGTGTGCTGAAGAGGCCTGGGGTGAGACCTGGACAATAAACAATCGAGCAGCATCAAGTTGCATCTCCATCCCACAGGTCTTGGATGCATGGAATCAAGACGGGTGTTTGTCATTGAGGTTTGAAGAAGTCAGCTGAGACAGCAAGAATTCATCTTGAGATGAAATAACTTCTAACTGGCTTGTGGCAGAATTTCAAGGCAGTTACTGGACAAGGCTGGGGCCATCATGCTGCCCAGCCCTTCTGCCCGTGGTGAGCAGGCCTGGGAGAAGATTCTGCCTTCAGTGAACAGTGAAGATATGGAGATCATGCAGGAATGGACCCAAGACCATAAGTCAAAAGGTGAGAGTTGATGAGGATTTAGGAAAGTGAAGAGGGGGACCAAGGTTCCAGGGTCAGGTGAGAGTGACCACAGCTGAGTCCACACTACTTCCTCCATCCCCTGGCTCAGAAGAGCTGCTCTGGGAGCATTATGGGAGTTCTGGTCTCTCACCGCTTCTCTTTCTTCCCTTAGGTTTGTCTCCTGAGGATACTGACCAATCCCAAGAGGAGGAGAGGAAGTCCCCTATACTGGTGAGTTGGAATTACCTTGATTTTCTGAAGTACTGGCTCATTTTCCAGAAACAGGCATGCTGTGTATTTTCTCAGAATGGGAGAAGACAGTCAGTCAACATTTGGGGATTTCATGGTCTCATGTCAGGTGCCATGTGAGGCATTTTAGAATGGTTGCTTTCATTTTGTGTTTTAATTTTCTTATTGGAAAATATACCTAAGATTAAGAACCCAGGCATCTCTGATAAGGGATATTTTTGGGAAAAATGAGATTATTTAAAAATTTGAATGTACTATTTAATTTCACAACACACTCACATACATATTATCTTACGAATCTTGTATACTGAGCATCTTTTTGATATTTCAGTTTTTAAACATACATAGAGATCATAGTGAAAATGGATTTCCGGACCCATCATGTACCTTCAACCATCTTCTACAGTGGCCAGCCTTAGTTACAGGAGTGTCATACTGTGTCCATAAATCTCACAACCTCAATATAAAATGTGAAAATACTCGATTTTTCTCCTTCCCTCCTCGGGGCTGATGCCTGCTGCCAACATAACACTTCTTTCTCTGACCCTAGTTACCTGGAGCCAGGTCAGATCTCACAAGTTTAAAGGCTACTACTGTTCTTCACTTTGCCATAGACACAGGCTCCAGGTACAGGTTTGAGAGTCCACAAACAAACCTCTTTTGTGATCTGCTGCCTAGAAATGTAGGGTGTGCTTTATGCTTTTGCATTGCCAGCCTCTAGCTGGGGAGCCGCAGTCCCTCTGCCCGCTGGGCTCCATGACCTCTCACCTGCTGGCTATACATTCATGGGTTTCCTCCACCACTTCAGGATGCCAGCTGCAAGTTTGAGATTCATCCTGGACTCTCTCACTTCTGACCTTTTAGCTCTCACTACTCCTTAGGGTTATAGAATTTTCTAGAATGACTCACACAACTCATTATATGTGTTATATTTATGACTACAGCTTGGTTTAAGGGAAAAGAAGGATATAAATAAATAGATGAATAGGGAAAATCTTGGAGGGTTTCCATTGTAGAGCTTGCATCTCCAAAAAGGAATGCACTGCCATCCATGTACATCAATGTTTTCACCAACAGAAAGCCCAAGAAGCTTCTGTATCCAGAGATTTTGTTGATTTCACTACACAGTCATGATTGATTATATAAGCTCCTCACACCACTAAGGTTAGCTTGAATTGAAATAAGCAATTTGTTAGTAATGTTGATGCACAACTATATGTTGTGATCTGTGAACTAAAGAGCTAGCAGACAAGTTTGGACTATACACAATTGTTCACACTTAATTATCATGGCAACTGAAATTTGAACCATTTTGTTGGACTGGATTTGTTTAACTAATTAATGGTAACTGAAATCCATATTTATTAGAAACTGTACAAAGTAATGAGTTCCTATATTCAAAGTGGATAAATTCTAGAGCCAAGTATATTGAATTATATCTCAACAAAGTGTTTACAGGAGCCCTAGAGGAGCAGTATTTAAACGCTTGGCTGTCATTTGAAAGGTTGGTGGTTTGAACCCACCAGCTGCTCAGCAGGAGAAAAACATGAAAGTCTACTTCAGTGTTTAAAGATTACTGCCTTCCAACCCTATGTGTGGTGCTGTAGGTTGATGTGCTGGACTACAAAGTCAGTTTGAACCGCAAGGTCGGTGGTTCAAGCTCACCAGCTGCTCCTTGGAAACCCTGTACAGGGTCGCTGTGAGTCGACAGACTTGATGGCACTCAACAACAACAACACACCCTATGGGGCAGATGTACTGTATGTGTTGGAATTGACTCAATGGCAGTGGGTTAAAGAGTTTTTCTTTTTAAAGATTAAATTACACTCAAGTGTTCTTTTTCTGAACCTCACTACCATTCTGTTGCCACCTGTTAGGCATAATGTCTGCATAATGAGTCAAGTATAAGGGCTTCATTGAGTTGGTTGGTTCTGACTCATAGTGACCCAGTGTAGGTTTTCTGAGGACCAGCTGGTGGTTTTGAACTACCAACTTTGTGATTAGCAGTCCAGTGCTTATCCTACAAGGACATAGAAGAGATTATTAAAATACAGAAACAAAAATAGTTATGCAAAATTCTTGAGAAATGCTCATTCCTGACCCTGTCTGTAGTTAAACTTTTCTCTCTATATTGATGAATTTCCTTCCATCTTCTCCCCTAAATTTTCACCATCCCTGTGTCTGTCACAAGCCCCACCTCCATGATGCCTTCTGTTTCTTTCTAGCCCACCCTATACTCTCCCATCTCTGAAATCCTCCATTATGAATTCTCACAGTCACTTTCTGGAACACTGCTTTATGCTTTCAAATTCAGTCACAAATGGTTTCTGCAGTGAAGTCCTGCATGAGTGAGGGCCAGGCTGTGTTCTGTGCATCTCCTGGGCTCCCCACAGATGCAATCACAGAGCCAGGTGTCCACTCACGGCCAGAAGGACTTGATCTGGAGAGCTGTGTTCTCTGCAGAGAATTAGAGGAGCTTCTTCAGATCCACGCCCTTTCACACCTGTGAAACTCCTCTCATTGTGAGACAGATGGAGATTTCCAATGCATGTTAACACACTACTTATTCTAGGAGCCAATTACAATTGAGGATGTCACTGTGGTCTTCACGGACGAAGAATGGAATATGCTGACCTCTGAGCAGAAGAGCCTCTACAGAGAAGTGATGCTGGAGACTTACAGGAATCTATTCTCATTGGGTAAGGGTGTGCTTTCTTGTCCTTCATTAATTCAGTAGGTAACTGTCTGCCACCTACTGTGTGCCAAAGGAGCCCTGGTGGTGCAGTGGTGAAGCACTCAGCTGCTAACTAGAAGGTCAGCGGTTTGAACCCACCAGGTCCTCAGTGAGAGAAAGATATGCAGTCTGCTTCTGTAAAGATTTATTTTGTTGTTATGTGCTGTGGAGTCGGTTCTGACTCATAGTGATCCTATACAGGGTTTCCGAAGCTGTAAATCTTTACGGGAGCAGAAAGCCTCATCTTTCTCCCACGGAACAGCTGGTAGTTTCGAACTGCTGACCTTACGGTTTGCAGCCCAATTTGTAAGCACTATGCTACCAGAGCTTCTTGTAAAGATTTATAGCCTTGGAAATTCTGTGGGGCAATTCTGCTTTGTTCTGTAATGTCACTGTGGGTCACAGTTGATTCTGTCACAGTGGGTGTTTTGGGTTTTCTGTGATCCATCCTGGATGGTGCAAACAATTTATGCTCAACCATTAACCTAAAGATTGGTGGTTTGAGCCCATCCAACAGCACTGCTGAAGAAATGCCTGGTGATCTGCTTCCATAAAGATTAAAGCCTATAAAACTGCCTGAGCTAAATCAAAAAGAGAGAAAGAAACCCTGTGGAGTATTTCTACTCTGTAATACATGCTGTAGCTGTGAGTTGTATTTGGCACAATTGTTTGGTGCTTTTGTTTTGTTTTCACTGTGTGCCAGATAATGTTCTAGACACTCCAGAACACAATAAATGGAATCCCTGCCCTCCCAAGGCTTACCATTGTGTATAAGAGAAAAACAATTAAGCGTAAACTGAACCACCGAGATATTTCATTATCGTATGTTAAAATTTGGTAAGTATTATGAAATGTGAAACTAGTAATAGAGTGGGACAAAGGGGTATTGGGTGTGGTAGAGTAAGCTGCCTTAGTTTTGAAGCTGGGTATTTGAAATCAGAGAGGAGATAGCATTTGACCAGAGACATAGGTGGTGAGGGTGTTAGAACTCTAGGTACCTAGGGTTAGAGCATTTCAGATGCAGGGAGTTGTCCTGGTATGAAGGCCTGAAGGAAGGGATGTTCCTGTCGAGTGTGAAGACCTGTACCGAGTCCAGTGATGTTGGGAGCAGTTTACAAAGGGGATAGGAATGAGAGATAACTTCTGCAACAAAAGTGAAAATTAAATGTCAAAACTTTTTTATGGCTTCTGGATTTCATAAACCATATGTTTTCTTTTTCTATTTGTTCAATATATTTATGATGATTCTTAAATTTCAGTTGATAAACACTATCAATTACAATATTGTGCTCCCTGAGGGTCTGGCTAAGTTACTCTGTAGTAGACCAGTTGGTAAGTAGTCAGGTTTTGTGTCACAACTCTCCAGTCTGCTGTTCTAGTGTGCAAGCAGTCATCAGTACTACACAAACAACTGGCCACAGCTGTGTTCCAGTAAAACTTTATTTATGGACACTGAAATTAGAATTTCATAGCATTTTCACATAGAGAATATAGTTCATTTGCTTTTTTCCCTAACCTTTAAAATGTAAACAATATTGTTAGATTGTATGCTGTATGGAAACATGCAGAGGACTGGATTTGGTCTCTGGACCATTGTTTTCTCATCTCTTGTTCTTGATCAGTACTGCCCAGTAGAAATCTAATGGGAGCTTTCTAGGTCATTTTAAAGTTCCTATTTGTTAATGTTAAGTGCTGTCGAATTGATTCCAACTTATAGTGACCCTGTATAACCACATTTGTTACTGCATTTATAGATGTACTTGTCTTTCTAGAAAAACCCTGCAGAGAAGCACATTTTTGGAGATACAAATCAGTCCCAAATAGGAGTTTCTTTCTGTCAGCATGGCTTTTCCCTGATGCAGATTTATTTCATTCCATTTTCATCTTCTCTGACATGTTTTGATCTGGTTTGAAAGAGTTCCATCATGAGCTGGTTCCGTCAAACTCAATACACATCATTCCCAACTTACAACATGTAGGAGTTGTGATGAATTGCACTTAGGACTGTCCATTTTGTTTGTTCTTTGGTACATCTTATTGTTAGTAAAATGTATTCTGTACAGTATTACAGCATGTAATTTGCTGATGTTACAGTTTCATACCAACACCAAAAGATAAAGACCAGGTTTATACAGATACTGATAATAAAATTCAGCAATAATAAAACTAAAAAAAAAAAAAATCAACAATGTGGCATTCAACTTATGCATGAAACAACTTAAGACTGAGTTGTTGGAACAAAACTGCATTGTAAGCTGGAACACCTGCACACATTTATCCATTTAAATCTGTTTTGTGTGCTTTGATTAGGCCATAGCTAGTCAATCTAATTGTCCCTGAAAGCAGCAGTCCGTGAATGAAATGAATCATTGCACTGGCCAAATCTGCTGCTAAACAGCTTTTTAAATGTTAAAAAGCTTAGCCATCTCCTTGAGGATTCAGATACACCAGACCTGAGACATGATAACTTTTTATCACCTCATATGCATGCAAAACCTGGGCAACGAGTAAAGAAGACAGAAGAATTGATGCATGTGAATTATGGTGTTGGCAGAGTATTGAATATACCCTGGACTGCCAGAAGAATGAAGAAGTCTGTCTTGGAGAAAGTACAGTCAGAGTGCTCCTTACAAGTGAGGATGGTGAGATTTTGTCTCACTTTGGACGTATTATCAGGAGGGACTAGTCCCTGGAGAAGAACATCATGCGTTGTAAAGTAGAGGGCCAGTGAGAAAGAGGGAGACCTCAATGAGATGGATCAATATAGTGATTTCAACAGTGGGCTCTAACATAACAATGATTGTGAGGATGGCATAGGGTCAAGCAGTGTTTCGTTCTATTGTTCATAGAGCCACCATGACTCAGAACTGACTCAACGGCCCTAGCGATGACAAAAAATGTCAAAAGTTTATTCTCCACCTCATCAAAGTTTGAGAACATAGTATTGTTCTGCATAAACCAGTCATTTTTTCTGTTTCTTTATTCAGATTATGATACCTTTTCTTCAAGTGCTCTGTTGAAAAATCATCAGCCTGAAATAATCATTAAAGATTTCATGGAAGAGGTATTTAATAAGTCAGCTTGGCTAGGTAATTTTTTGTAACTCACAACTCCAGTAATTGACTGGCTGCTCTTAATGCCCAAAGGACACAGACACTCTGCCATAAACCTCCAGTTGAAGGCATTTAGCTCTAGCTTTGTGGGTCAGCAAACCTAGTTCCCTCAGCTAAGTGCCCAGAGGCATCCCACTCTACAAGCAGGCCTCCGGCCTGAAGGCTCGCAGCTTTATTCACTGTGTGGAGCAGGTTCTTGTGCTCTGGTTCTTGGTTCTGCTGCTCCTCTGTCTCTTCTCTACTGCTTCTCTGGTGCCACAGCGTTTTGTCCCTGGATCTAGGAGGTTTCATGCACAGAGATATCAGGGTCCAAAGAACATGCTCTACTCCTGGTTCTTCTTTCTTGATGGTGTTGAGACCTCCATTCCTGCTTCTGAGATGGCTTATTTTATGCCCAGCAGGATGGCAAACTTGACCAATCCCCGTGTTAAAGTTCCAAGTCTTTACAATCATAATTAGCCCTGTATATGATCCTCTTAATGGATCATATACACCTGCTTTCTCTTAACTAGACTCATCAGGAAAAGAGAAAATTCATCCAATCTACATTTGTTAGGATTTACAAAGACTATAGCTAGAAGAGCCATATCAAGTAAATCCAGTCAAAGGAGTAGTGATAGAACAATATTGTAGCTCTTAAAGGTCATTTGAAGGAGCTCTGATACGTAGTGGTTACAAATCGGGCTGTGAATCACAAGGTCAGCGGTTCGAAACTACCAGCTGTTTCGCAGGAGAAAGATGAGGCTTTCTGCTCCCATAAAGATTTATAGCCTAGGAAACTCTGTACAGGGTCCCTATGAGTCAGAACCGACTCCATGGTACACACCGCCACCACCAACAAAAGTCATTTGAAAGTGACACTAAATTCCACTAACCTTCATTGACCACAGAAAACCACATAGCACATCTAATGTCACTGTGCTAGGAAAGAGAATTCCTCTGCAGAGATGGACTCAGTGGGGAAGGGCTGCAAATATTTTGACCAAAACATTTTACCACAAGAGGGGAAGCTTGAGCTAAATCTTACAAGAGTAATAGAATTCAGTTTCCTGAGTGGTTCATATGATTAATGCACTCACTGCTAAGGTTGGAAGTTCAAGCCCACCTAGAGGTGTCTTGTAATAAAGGCCTAGTGATCCCCTTCTGAAAAGTCAACTATTGAAAACCCTGTGGAATGTAGTTCTTCTGTAACAAATGGTACTGTGAGTTAGAACCAACTTGATGGCAACTGGTTTGTTTTTTTCGGGGGTGGTGGTATTCATGGGGTCAAGGTACCCTGCTATAGGATAAACACTAGACTGCTAACCACAAGGTCGGCAGTTCAAACCCACTAGCTGCTCTTTGGAAACGCTATACAGGGTTGATGTGAGTTGGAACCAACTTGATGGCGCACAAGATACCCTGCTATAGGATAAACACTAGACTGCTAACCACAAGGTCGGCAGTTCAAACCCACCAGCTGCTCTTTGGAAACGCTATACAGGGTTGATGTGCGTTGGAACCAACTTGATGGCGCACAAGAACAAAGTAGATGTAGGAGCTGTGTATGCAGTGGTTATATGCTCAGCTGGTAACTGAAAGTTTGGCAGTTCAAACCCACTAGCTGTTCCACAGAAGAAAAATGTAGTAGGCTATTTCCATAAAGATTTGCAGCCTTAGAAAACCCTACAGGCAGTTCTGCCCTGTCCTATAGGATCACTGTGAATCAGGATTGATGCCATGGGTTTTAAGGTAGATTTAATAGAGTCTTGGTATGGTGCTATAGGATAAGCACTGGACTTCCAACCATCACCACAACAACATGTACACACATAGACCTGGCTTCATCTATGTGCATGTTGTTGTTAAGTGTAATCGAGTCAATTCTGACCCATAGTGACCTTGTACAGGTTTTCCAAGGAGTGACTGGTGAGCTTGAACTGCCGACCTTTCAGTTCAAACCTACTTTGCAGTCCAGCACATTAACCCACAGTGCCACACCAGGCATAGCTAATTATATATATATATACACACACACACACACACACATATACACAACTTTTCCCATCTATGAAATGGAATTTTTTTTAAACTTGTACATCTTTTCCAATGCTCTTTTTATTACAAGGCTGAGAAGATTTCTACAACAGTATTTTGATGGGAAAAATGTGTAAGAGCATTTACACAGCAAAGGCAATTTGAAGTTTTCTATTTTATAAAAGTTGTGTAAATGAGAAATGGCACATACTCTTTCACTAGTAGGCTGGAATTCAGAACAGTTTTGCTTATTTTTAATGTACTCTATTTTTGCAAGGATGGGTAAATTTCCATTATATGTGCGATTGAAAAAATTTTTTTCTTTCATTTCTGAACAGGAAAATAAGAACTTTCAGTTATGGAAAAGTTCCCAACAATTTGTGTGAATGAAAAAGTATATTGTTTCTGTTCATGTACATGAAAAACAAAACAATATTAGACATTGTAATAATACAGAGAGCATATAGAAAATATGTAAAAGACCTCATATTTTCTGTATGTGACTCAGAGAAATGGACCTTAATTTATTTTTATTCACACTTGTATTGGGATATTTCATGTTCTTCTAAAATAAGAGTACAATGAAAGTATGTAAAATCTCTAGAATCATTGTGAACGAATAGGAAAATGTATATATTTTTGTTATAACTATATAATATGTAAAACATTTTTGGAATTCTGTTCCATAAATAAGGAAACCATATTTTTTTTATCCTCACATTTTATTGGATATTTCTCTGACTTGTATTACAAAACTCTTATATTGCATATTTTTTTATTCATTGGATGTTCTTTACTTTTACATGTCTTTGTAATTCACACATTGTTTTAAAAGATAAAATTGCTTAGAATTCTTATTTTCAATAGAATTTATTTATTTTTCTTTTTCTTACCTATACTTTTCCTTCCATTCATTTACAGCGATTCTAAAGACCGTTATATCATTTCATTGTACTCTTATTTCAGAAAGATGGGAAATATCTCGATACAAGTGTGAGTGAAAAATGAATGAAAAATTTCTGCTCCTTTCTTCTCATTTACCTAGACAACATATGAAGTATGTTATGTGACCTCACTGTCCTCTGTGTCTTATTGCAAGATTCAATATTCTTCCAGCGCACTGTGAGGAGAAAAAAATATAGTGTATTTCATTGAAAACAAGAATTCTAAGGAGTTTTAAATTTAAAAATTACACTTTGAATAACAAAGACTATTAATGTAAAGTACACCCAGTGAATAAGAGAAATACATAGAGTTTTTTTCATCCATTATTAGAAAATATAAGTGGTTAACATGGTTTCATTGTACTGTTTATTGTTAAAAGGATGGTAAATATGCTAACATATGTGAAACTGAGAAACATGTGTTTAGTTTTTTGCATCCATGAAATGGAGTTGTGTGAATGAGAAAAAGTATATATACTTTCTTCCATTGATATACTAGAATGCTGAACAATTTTACTGATTTTTAATGGGCTCTTTTTATTTCACAAGGATGGGAAAATCCCCACTACATATGTGAATTAAAAAAAAAAACACCTATAAAGTTTCATCCATAAATGTACAGGAAGTACAATAATTTTCTATGATTCTAATGCCAGGAAGTGCCCAATGATTTGTCTGAATGATAACTAAAAAATACATTGTTCCCTACATATCTACTGGTGTGGCATTCTAGGATAAGCACTTGACCGAAAGGGGTCAGTTTGAAATGAAAAGTCAGTGGTTCAAACTCACCAGCTAGTCTTTG